CATATTTTTGGTAAAAACTGTTTTATTATATCTAAGTAACAATCACTTTGCTGAGAGCAGTCACATCTGTAGGTAATGCAAATAATTGAGACCTTGATACTGTTCTAAGAAACATAGGAATCCCGGGTAATATTAAGGTGTTAAACTACTATTCAAAAGCTATTAACTGTGAATAGATAAAGAAGCTGAGAGCCCCTGAAGTAATCCTGAAATAGGTTTGGCAGATGGAAAATATACAACCGTGTATTATGAGAAAGTTTCATAAAAGTAATGTCCCATTTCCGAGAAACTACTATCAATGAACAGATAAATCTTGAAAAACTCATGGAAATGTACAATAATATCTTCAGTGCAATCAGATCTGGAACAAAATTCTGTTCCATCTCCCTGAACTATTTCTACCAATTTATTGATAATATTGAAAAAAAAAAAAAAAAAAAAAAAAAATGTTGCATGAATTTACTAGTTATAAAAATGAACCCTCATAGATATGAACATTAGTCTTAGATACTTTTCATCAAAAATAAGTGATAAAAGCCTATAAATTTGCTTGAAGTCAATAAAAATTCATATCTACTAATCAGACAATACTACAACTGAATGAGTAAACCTAGAAGTCAATAAGAGCCTTGAGAATTTCTATATCATTAATTATGTTTTTTCTCCTAATTGTAAAATGATCTTTAAAATATAAATCAAGAAATCTTATACAGCTTACATGCAGTCTACTAAACGTTTCTGTATGTCTTATGCAGTAGTCCATAATGTCTAACTTGTTAAAATATGACTTTCTAATAACCATTCCAAAATTTACATATATGATTACTCAGCTATAGACAGGAATCTTTTATTCAAACCAGCATTCACAAAATTCAAACCTTCCACTATAAAATAAATAAAAAATAATCATTTTTAAATCACCAAATCACAGACCACAATAAAACTTCCTGACACCACTTCATTCTCATGAAACACAAATTGCATGACTCGGAAAGAAAACTAAGATGGTGGAGAGGGTAGCTATAGATGCTCCCTCAACCAGTCACTTCATGCTCCTCCTTTGGCAAAATGCAATCTTTGTTCTCATCTTAAAATTTTCATGCATGATGAGCTAACATCACACTGCTTGGGAAAAAAAAGATTCCTATAAAACAAGAGCTTCACAGCTACATCACCATCAACTGAGTATCCTGCCTTAAAGGATAGCAAGACAACACGGTTTTGAAATAAGGAAAAGAAAAAAAAGGCTAGAAACTGAATAGGACATGGCTAAATTAGAAAATCCCTAAGACGCGCATAACCAGACTCGGACCAAAAGGCATCCTAAACTCTCGTGCAGTAATGAGGTATGTTTGAACTGTAGTGTAACTCTCTGTTGCAAACACTGACATCAGCCAGAGAGACAAGTCAGGACACCTCAATCCAGTAGACATTCCAGATACTCTAGGGCAAAACTTACTACATACTGTACTATGGTATGGTAACAACACAGACATGATGTGGTCAAACTATGGTTAAAAAAAAGCAACAGGAACTAAGAGGGGAAAGATCATTTGTTACAACTAAAGTTGGGAAATGTTTAAATAAAGAGGAAAAGATGAGGAAAAAATTAAAGAAAAGAAGCACCAACACAATTAAACACAGAGAGTGGCTGTTGAAACTGAAAAGTTTATGTTTTTTTTTATAAACTATGATAGAAAAAATACTATAAAAAGAAAGATTTTTACAGATATATCTCCCGAAAACATGAAATATCTTAAGAAACAAGTTGTATCAAGAAAACTTTCTAAATACTCACAAAGACCTTGAAATTTATCACTTTCATGGATGAAAAAGATAAGAACAATTATTTTCAGTTCTGTTCTCTCTCTTCTTTACTTTTCAGTTCTGTTCTCTTCTCAGCCTAATTACTTTGTAGTCACATGAAATATAATAAGGCACTATGTTTAGGGGACTATGTATTTTCTGATAGCAATCATTCAAAAATCAAGAGAATATTACACTAATCAAATACTAGTCAGGAGTTGGAACACTCAAAGTATGATAAAATTTCATCTTATGCCATTGACTTAAAAGGTTAGTTTTTAATTTGGGAGTACATATCCTTATATGGGAATCGACAACCAATAAAAAAGTTACGAAAAATACAAATAAAACAATAATTATAAAGCAAAAGTAACAGATATAAAGTCACAAAAAAGAACAGTGCAATATCAAAATGAAAATAAGGATAAAAAAGGGAAGGGGTATTGATACTACTGTTAACTTAAACTTGTTTAACAGAAGAATACAGGAACAAGAGGAGAGGACAAATTGCACCACTGGTTCTGATGCAAACTTACTCTTCTAAACTCTGCAATCTGCGGGTATTGGTAAAGGTTTGGTAAGAAAATCTTTCCCTGTGTCTTACATGGGTATGGTGGCTCCTTTTAGGCTATCATAATGGTATTTTCAACATTTGCAAATAAATCAAGCAAAAGACATTAGCATTTTCAGGAAATTCTGGAGAGGAAATACTTTATACAACTAAACTATGGTTAATTATAAACTCTAAAAAGAGCCATGTACAATAATTTCTTTTGTAATTGGTCATCTTAAATCTATTAAGAAAGAAACTATAATTAACCCCTTTGGGATCATTTCCCCAATATAAGTACAAAAATTCCAAATAGAAGAATATATATCACAAGTTAAATTTTTACAAAGGCTATGGTAATATATATTTCTGATACCATAATATAAGCGCATACCAGAAAGATTCCATTTTCTATATTCAAGGTGCCATCATCTGAGCAACACTTTTATCAGGCAGAGAGAACATAAAATGGGTACTGAAATCTGGAATAAACTACAAAATTTTTAATAATGTAGCTATGATACAATAAAGTGAGAATGAAACATCAAATAACAATTACTTGTGACTATCATTTAGCATTATCTGTCCCAAGGAGGTTAATTTGAAAGATAAGTTTCAAGCTAAAATTATATGGATGAATTCTAGCAAGATCTATTTTACCAATGTCACATCATAAGAAAAGGTCTGTAAATATATATATATTTTTTGCATTAAGATTGCTAAACAGTGCCTGGAGCAAGTAGTTGATGTCAAAAAACATTGCACCAAAAACATGTTAAAAGATAATAACATAATAGTAATCAATTGAATGAAAAAATCAAGGCAAATAACTGTGTATAAAAAAAGTTATATAGCTTTTTCTCTAAAAGATACAAAAATATGTTTACTCTCATAGAAAAATAACAATCTAAAGACACAGTAATATAAAATAAATGTAAAGAACAATAGCCTATGAAATTAACCAGCCCTGGCAAAGTGAATTCATGATGTAAACCCAAATATTCCACAATATGTAACAAAATCCTTAGACTAACAACAGTCAAGATGAACTACAAGACAGACCTTCTGATTAGTAAAGTCAGAAAATATCCTAGGTAAGTAATAGAAGTTAATAAATATAGTCTTTCTTATGTTTATAAGAAAGAAAAGATTATAGTAAGTATAAACTGCATAAAAAATCTGGCTACATATATTAGCACATAAATGCATTTCATGATAAAATCATCTAAGGAAAGTGATTTATTTAAATGAGAAGAAAACCATTCCTTTGAGAGTATGTGGAGATATGAAAGAAATATAACATTTAGGCAATATATAAATTCCTCTACATGAGGCTACCATATGGAATCATATCAAGTTTTATCAACTATTTGAAAAAAATCATGACTGTCGTATCTCTACCAAAAACAGTATGCTTAAAATTTGGCTTTCTAAAAAAAAAAAAAAAAAAAGAATAAGAAAAATCTAAAATAATATGTTAACATTCACAAAATGACAGAATGAAAGATAGAGAAAAAAGACAGTATCATAAATCATAAAAATGATTTTAAAAATGTACAGAAAAAGAAAGTCAAAAGTTAGATAAAGGTCATAAGATAATAATATAAACTTATAAAAAGAAAAAAAAAATCTTCTCTTACAATGAAATACTGACTATCTATGGCAAAATGTGCTCTGACATCTGCATCCATCAAATCACATCAAAATCGTCTCTAAATTTACTTACATGATAATGGCAGCTTCGAGTAGGTGGCAAGCATTTCATATTAGGATATACTTACTGTTTGGATGTTATTTTATTGATTTATCATTAATGTTTTTATTTTTTCATAATATTAATACCTCTAATGTCATTAGCTGATTCTCTCTTAATGTACATTTACTGTACTTAATATAACGGGAAATACAATATTTTTGGCTGTATGGTCTACTTGTTATACTTTGAAATGATGTTAAAGAGTAAGACCGTGAATTTACATTTCCTCTTTTCTGATACTTTTCATATAGTCAATCTGTCTACTTTTTCACCTTTCTTATGGACATGATTTTCCCCTATTTTCTATTTCTAATTTTGTAACTGATTTATATGTGTGCTGTATGAAATAAACCATAACAAAGCTATGTGCAGTCATACCTTGGAAAAAGTGATTTTATATAACAAAAAAAAAAGAAAAGAAAAAGAAAGAAAGTATAGTAAAAAACTATTCTGGAGACTACTTATGTTCAGAGAACAAAACTTACTGAAATCTTAACATACAGAACCAAACATGAAGTAGTAAAAAAAAGTGGATTGAGTAATAACTGTTCCTCACCCATGTTAGAAACTCTGTATTTAACCATTAATATTCACAATCTTCTCTTACTATATGTGGTAATAAATTTTTTGAATTAAATAATTTTCTCAAATCAACACTATTTTCTTAAATTCAGTTCTTTCTAGGATTAATCAGTAATTTTGGTAAGGTGCCATTGTTATTTTTCTTTAGTTATGAAACTTTTATGTGCATTTAAATACCATCCTTTTAAACTGAATAACCCACAAAAGCCAGTTGATTTGCAATAAGCTAAAATAATGGAACAAGATAAGAAAATATTGATAAAAAAATTCAGCAGTGTTCATAAATTCCCATAAAAAAATAATTACCTGCATAAGCTTCTTTACGACATCTCTGCCTAAAATGTGGTCAAACACTGCTTGAAGAAACTGGTCGCCCATAATTGTGAGCTTGAGTTTGTCACGATGCCAGATCAACACTCGAGAATCTTCTATGGCTGTTGCTGAGACCTGAAGGAATAAATTGGGTTAACATAATATATCAGAAATAAACAGTTTTAGTTGGCATTTTTGAAAAGTGGAAAGCAGGGATGAATACTGAAAAACAGGAAAATCATGATGAACAAGTTTACATCTTCTGTAGTCTATCTAGTATGCTTATAGTTATGCCTATCCATCACTGAATGAATGGGAAAACCTCAGTACTAGTAACTGGTTTTGTGTCATTAATCTTTTCAGTTTTTAATGATGTCATTTTATGGAGGGTTCACAAAACAATCTATTTTTGTGACATACTTACCTTTTAAAATACAAAGCTCTGCATATTGAAGCACAATTCTGACTTCTTTTAAGAATAATACTATGAACCTAACTGGGAAACAAACAGAAATATTTGTGAAATAAAGAAATTGCTAGACAGACTGCCTGTTAGTTATGATATATGGATGAATGATGGGTGGAATAACATAAAGAGAAATAGGCTTATAAGCATATAAAGAAAACACTTATTCACTTTTAAGGATAACCAACCTGGAAGAACTCATCAGTAGAGACACCAAACCACTCTGGAGAGTCAAGGAACTGGTGTTGAGACACAATGTGGAGAGCTCGCCCATTTTGGCTTATCACCAGTCTATAGTTTGAACAGAAGGAATAATGATTAATTTCAATATATATCTTATTTCTATCATATATATATTAACTTTACACACTATACATATAGGATGTATGTATATCGACTAGTTATTTTTTCTAATTACTTAAATAACCAGATAGTACTTAAACTGGCTCTATGTTGAACATGACAATGACAGTTTTTTCTCATGGATACAACTTACAATTAAGTCAACTCCATTAAGTCAAATTCTAGTTTCCTTTCTTTCATCTGCTTACCTCCTTCCTCACATTATACCCCCCTTTCCTTTTCCTTTCTCTCATCTTCCATCCCTTCCAACCAGTAAGTTCTTAGTACCCTGCTCCACTTAGTAGTTGTGTATTTTCCCTGTGATTCCTACCCTTCCTAACTCTGCTCCCACTCCTCCACTTCTCTATTCATTCTTCCTTCTCTTCTTCCATCCCTCCCCGTTTAACAGCTTCTTTCAGTCCTTCTCTCCACCCATTATTCATGTTCTATATCCCACTCTATATCCCCCTATACTTCCGTAATCTCATTACCAGAAACACCATAAGGCGTCTTCTCTGTGCCCTTAAATTTCCCAACCAGTTACATTCTCATATTCCTTTGATAAAGATTACCATACTTCATTTCATTTTCTTGTACTCCTACTCTTCAGCCATCACCCAAACTCCTTCTCCTTCTCCTCCTCCTCTTTCTCTTTATAATTCCTGCTCTCGTTTTTGTTTTCCTCCTCCTCCCTCTCCCCCTCCTCCTCCTCCTCCCCCCCCCCCCCCGCCCTCCTCCTCTCTCCCTCCGTCTTTTCTTTCTCCCGTTCCACTTCTCGCCATCAACAGGTCCTGCCAATCCCTTCCTCTACTCCCGTATTCACGAAGGGGCACACACCTGCCGGAGAGCACGAGCGAGAGCGAATCCACTCGAGTTATCTTCTCCTGCGCGTAAATCTCTTGGAACTTGACGTAGCGGATGAGTTTCATGCAATTGATGACTCTCTTGAACTGATGGCGAGATACCTTCAGCGGCTGGAACAGGCTTCTGTACACCTGAAGGAGATGAGGGTTGATATTAGCGCCACAGATCAGTCGGATGAATTAAGGGAGATTCATGAGGGATTTCTCTGTGATCTCTGCGGAGGGTGAGTTGCGTTTTAACTTGTCTTTTACATCAAACACATTCATTTTTTGGTGTGTGTGTGTGTGTGTGTGTTGTGTGTGTGTGTGTGTGTGTGTGTGTGTGTGTGTGTGTGTGTGTGTGTGTGTGTGTGTGTGTGTGTGTGTGTGTGTGTGTCTACGTGATTGATAAAAATGTTCATCAATACATTGCAAATACACTCACACTCGCTCTCTCTCTCTCTCTCTCTCTCTCTCTCTCTCTCTCTCTCTCTCTCTCTCTCTCTCTCTCTCTCTCTCTCTCTCTCTCTCTCTCTCTCTCTCTCTCTCTCTCTCTCTCTTGTTCGCTCACTCACTCACTCACTCACATGGCGACAACAGAATCTTCCCAATGACACCAAGTATCGTTCAGATTTCCTTGGCGTTGACCAATTCAACTCGAAATATTTTATCACGCCCCTCAAACCATTGTCAGTGTCTCATAAAATAATAGAAGAAATGTTTTTCATTGGGACTAAAGAAAATGAGTGATAGTAATTGTAATGATGTGATGATGTTGATAATAAATGTATCAATAATTATGAAAATGAATAAAAAAAATCACAACGACTATTATAACGATAACAATTACCTTTATTATCGTGATGATGACTATGATGACTGATGATGATGATGATAACATCAATATTGATAACGAAAACGATAATTATGATAATGACAATAAAAATAGTAATAGCATTAAAATGTAACAATTACAATACCAACAACAGCAATGCCAGCAGGAATGAAATTGATAATAAAAATCAATAATAACAATAACAACAATAACAACAATAATAACAGTAATAGTAATAGTATCAATAATAATAATAATAATAATAATAATAATAATAATAATAATAATAATAATAATAATAATAATAATAAGGGTGGTGCTGCCGCTAATAATAATAATAATGACAATAAGAATAACAATGATAATAATAATAATAACAACAACAGTTAATCATAATAATAGTACTGATAACAGTAGTAGTAATAAAAAATAATAATGATAATAGCAATAATAATAATAATAATAATAATAATAATAATAATAATAATAATAATAATAATAATAATAATAATAATAATATGAGTAATAAAGATTATAAGAATAATGGGGACGATGATGATAATACTAATATGGTAATGATAATACTACTATAAATAATAATGGAAACTATAACATTACTATTACTACTAACGATAATGGTAATGCTAATGATAATAATAATGATAATAATAAAAATGCTAATAACAGTCATATCAATATCATTAATAACTATGGAAATAATAATAACAATAATGATAATGATGATGATAATAATAATAAAAATAATAGCAATAATAATAATAATAATAATGAAAATAATAACAACAACAACAATAATAACAATAACAATAATAATAACAATTACAATAAAGTAATAATTACCTAACTACTATGTGAGTCAACACCAATAATATCATACCAAAAATAAAAATGGTTCACGTAAATGTGAAAAATCCCACCTTCAACTATTGAAAAATAATGAAAATATAGTTTATCTCGTTTTAAAACACAAACCATATTCTATATGACTAAGAACAAGTGGATCTTTGTTATAGAGTAAGTTCTATATCGAACCCGATTCCTGTTCCTTTGTTCTGGAAACTGCTGGAATCTAATCCTTTGCAAAGCCTTGGTGCTTCTCACAACTTGTTTCTAAGTCTTAACTTTCCTAATATACTTTTCTCACCTTCCCTCTCGCCTTTTGGGTGAGTTGCCGACGAGCATTTATTTATGGAGCAGGTCTGAAAATGTCATTTTTGGTCGGATGTGGTCGTTGCTGTTTTTCTCTGTTGCCTTTGTAATTGCCAACTCCATTTCTCGGGATTTTGTCTTTTTATATACATTTCGGCCTTTTTGCATTGTGTATTATTTTCTTATTATGTATTATCCACATACTGAGGAATCTTTTAGATAAATGTTTGCGTTCACAGTAATTTTCTCTTTATAAACACCATGTTCTTTTAAATCAGAAATAAAAATCATCCATTCAGTTTTTAAAAATGTCAATATGGTCTTAAGTTCTCGTACATACACAAGACTGCATTCTTAAACACCTACATTGCATATGAACATGCATGAATAAATATAAGTATACATACACGCAAGCACGCATACAACATAGAAGACCGCATTCCTAAATACCTACACATGTGCACATAATAACATGAACACCTATGTACACACTATTATAAATAGCCAGCTCGGGATGTCTCACTGGATCAATAACTGGCAAAAAAGAAAAAAAATGCAGCTAATTAATCGTACAGGAAGAACACAGTATGCTTTTGGTTCGCATTTCATACCACGCTGTAGTCAGTCCGCCTCCAACATTCTCGCAACCACTAATACCATCACCATTTTCACCATCAAGTTCAGTCACTATCCCTCTACGTACGACCCCTATCTTCACTACGGCCTTCACCACTCTCCCCACCACACTGCACCTCGTCATAAAAATTCAAGGAACAATAAGAATTGTGAGATAAACAATGCGCCCTTCCATTACGTAAAGAAAAAGAAGGTCTAGCGGTGTTTTAATGTGTTCTTTACCCTCGCGAGTTACTGCTTACACCGGATGAGGAGACAGAGTCAGCGGAGAAACCGGGACAATTATGCAAGTAAGTTTCATAAAAAATAAACATATACATATCCGTGTATATATGTGGACATAGGGTACGCACGCGCATATGTAAAGATAGATGGATGTAAACATAAAAAAATAAACGTTTACTGTGAGATTCAGTTTATTTGCTTCGATTCTGCTTGAAGATTTAACAGTCAGTCGAGCTTTTCAAAGTATTTTATAACGTTATTACAAGATAGTTAACTGAGAACTAGAAATCAGACTTCACACATATACGCTTACCGCACATCAGATTAGAATACCTAAAATTCGTAAAATCTACGGCCCACAACCCACGTTTCAATACATAGCACTGGACGCCTTGCCATTACTTACCCAGCCTGACAACGTTCCTTAAACCTCTGTTAAAAGTCGTAAGTTTTTTCAGCCTACAACCAACATTTCCATTTAAATGCGAGAGTAAAGAGGGAAGTTGACAAACTCTGGGAGAGGAGAAGAAAATATGTTAATTATTCATGACCAACGCCGCAGCATCGATCCATAACCGGAATAATAAGGATTTTCACGGTAGAGTCCTATGGATCTCCGCCACTAATCAGTCTGAGGGAACAATGAATTCGAAACCCGATGTTCAGCTCTGGCACAAAGGGTTCCTAACAATGCTGTCATTGTACAAAGGGGGTTTCTCACAGTACTCATTATACTAAAGGAGTTTCTCAGAGTCGCTGTACTAAATTAAAAATTCAGTATTATGGACTCTAAGTGCATTTCTTTATGTCCTCCTTTTAATCCTTATTTCACTTTCTCTTTTCTCTCTGAGAGTTAGTCTAACAGAAGAAAAAAAGGAAATCTCAAAAAGTCAAACTTCATTACGTACAAGCTGTATATTTCATGATGTTAAAAACTCCTGTCATACAATTTCATTAAAGGAAAAGCAAATATACACAACTCAGCGTATGCTTTCCTCCGTCAAGAACGAATATTTCAAAAGCATTCTCTACCCAAGACGTACCATTGTAAACGGCTCACGAAGGAACGAAGGCATCCCGAAACGAAGAGACGAAGAACAAGGGTCATAAAGGCAATATAAAACACACGCCAGTAAAAAGGAAGAAGGTCCAAAGACAAGAAGCTAACAGAGCGCGACAGGAGAGCAAGATGCATGCAGTGTCAGCAGCGGAAGGCAAACTCGCCTGAGGCTGCCGCTGTGGGAGGTGGCGAAGCTCCATTCAATCCATTTTTCCGATCTTCCCCCCCCCTCCCGCGCCCTCCTCCTCCCCTCCCGCGCCTCCTCTCCTCCCCCTCCGCGCCCTCCTCTCCCTCCCCCTCCCGCCCCTCCTCCCCCTCCCCTCCCGCGCCCTCCTTCCCCTCCCCCCTCCCGCGCCCTCCCTCTCCCTCCCCCCCCTCCCGCCCTCCCCTCTCCTGCTGCCCCCTTCTCTGCTCTCTCTTTTCCTATCTCTTCCCTCTCCTTCCCTTCGTCTCTTTTCCTGTCCTTTCCTCTCTCGCCTCCATCCTTCTTATCTCTTTCCTCCGCCTCTGCTGTTGACTTTTTGTTCTCCCTCACTTCCATTTTACCTCTTTCCTCTTCTTCTCTCCTTTCTTTTTCCTTTTCTTCCTCCTTCCTCTCCCCTCCTTTTTCCCTTCCTCATGCATCGCTCCAGAGGGATCAAACGTCACAAACTCAGCGTTTAGTATCGACGTGAAATGCTCGAACGCATTTCTTTCTTTTTCTAGACCTCTTTCTTTCTTCCTTTTCTATCTATCCTCCTCCTCCTCTATCACACCTTTTCCCCTTTTCCTTTGCCACATCACTCAAGGCCTGTTATCCCTTCGCACCTGCAATACCTGTAGAGAGGGCGCACGCAAACCCGAGCATCAGGCGAAACATCCAAGGGCGACGCTTATGTGGAGACCGGGTAAGGGTGTAACATGTGTGGTTTATGAATTAAGGCTGTTAGGGTTTCTTTTTTAAAGACAGTGAGTGTGAGTGAGTGTGGGTGAGTGAGTGTATGTGAATGCGTGAGTTGAGTGAGTGTGTGAGAGCATGAGTAATTGAGTGAGTGAGTGAGTGAGTGAGTGAGTGAGTGTGTGTGTGTGTGTGTGTGTGTGTGTGTGTGTGTGTGTGTGTGTGTTGTGTGTGTGTGTGTGTGTGTGTGTGTGTGTGTGTGTGTTGTGTGTGTGAGAGAGAGAGAGAGAGAGAGAGAGAGAGAGAGAGAGAGAGAGAGAGAGAGAGAGAGAGAGAGAGAGAGAGAGAGAGAGAGAGAGAGAGAGAGAAAGAGAGAGAAGGCAGAGAGAGAGAGAGAGAGGTAAAGAATGTTTTGATAGACTTCCAACGTGATAAAAAAGGGCTGACAGGAATCCATTTGAGAGTCAGCCAACGAACAACGGATA